ATGCTGCCTATACCTTTTGAGATTAGCTATAATTATATAATCCTATCTGCAGTAATTTAATATGGTAGTGATTAAATATATATTATAAAGTTATTTAGATATCATTCTTGTCAAATTAATAAAACAATCGAATTTTATGAATCTACGGATAGAGACCCAGATTATGCGGTTTGAAAACATTTTTGTGTGAGATGATAATTTCAAATTGTGCGTTATTTATGTGAGGGGGCCATATACGTACATATTTCGTATTGTTATAACTTTGATCATTGTATAATGTGTTGTTATTCACATATGTCTGTGGTCTCTATCCATAGATCCTGTGCTATTATTATAAAACAATGGGATTTATATGATTTATAAAATTCAATTGTCTTAATAAAAAAGTCTTTGCGGAATCTGCTTTGAATAATTGTTTTTCATACCTTCTTTTTTTTATAAATATTTCTTGCTATCTTCGAAACCTTTTTTTAAAAAATGTTGTTTAACTAATTTCAAGTTACCTAGTAATTAACAAGTTTATAAACAAGTATATTTATCAATGTAAGCTTTATTATTGTTTGAACGCTATAAAATATTTATTTTATAATGTATAAATGCTACAAAGAGAAACCTTGATACTGTATTAGGCTTTCAATATCGGATACAATCTAATTTGTTAGAAATTGTATCTTGTACAAAATAAAATTTGAAACCTGATATCAGAATTTCTTTTAGTAATATTTATAATATTTATAAAAAAAATTTTGGTTTATAATACGTAGTAATAATAGGCAACTATTTATGTAGATATACAAGCAATTGTAATAATGGAAGAAGATATTTCCGATTCTATATCAGAAGTTGTTAACGATTCAGATCATGATACTCATGCTAGTACTAGCAAAAGTCAAAAAAAAAAGAGGCCGCCCAAAAAATATACTTTGGAGTGATCATTTTAATGAAATTAATCTGCAAGGTGATGGTCATAAAGGTTGGGAATGTAAATATTGTAATGAACAATTTTTACGTGCATCTGATGCAAATATGAATACACACCTGGCTTTAAATTGTAAAAAGGCGCCACTTGATATTAAACAAGAACTTTTACGAAAATTCCCTGTACCAAATCAAAAAAGCAAAACTAAAACAGCATTAGATATTATTACTGGTGTACAGCCACGCATTGACAGTAAATTTCAAGTTGTAAATAAAATGGATTCCGGGCAAGAAGAATTATGCCACAAAGCATTAACTCGATTTTTTGTATGTTGTGGAATTCCTTTTTGGATTGTTGAGCATCCATTTTTTTTTAGATTTTTGTAAAAAATCTATGTACTTCATATAAACCACCTGATCGAAAGGCTTTAAGTAATGATTGGCTTAATTTTGAAACAGCAAGAGTTACAGTAGCTATGGAAAAAGAACTTCAAAATGAAAGTAATCTTACATTAGATAATATTATAAATAAATATTATATATTATTTAATATATATTTTATAATAAATTAATATTATTTAATTATTAGTTTTAGACGGATGGACAAGTAACCATGGTTATTCATATTTTGCTTTTATAATTATAACTGCTGATAAAAAACAATATGTGCATTCAATTAAAGATTTTTCTAATAAATCACATACTGCAATTTTTATAGCTGATGAAATTGAAAAGGGTTTAAAAGATATTGGATCTAATAAATTTGGCGCTATAGTTTCTGATACTGCTTCTGCTATGACACTTGCCAAACAATATATTTCTGATAAATATCCAGCAATTTTACCCATTCGGTGTATTGCACATCATATTCAGTAAATTTGTAGTGTATTACAACAATGTCAATCTTTTGTAACATACTTTCATGCATCTCATCGATCTGGAGCAATATTACGCAATGAAATAGCTCGTTTTATAATAAATAAAGGTGGATTAAAAAGTTCTGTTTGTTCACGTTGGTCATCTGCATATGATTGTGTACAATCAGTCTTAATGTAGAAGTTTGTATTAAACAAGTAAGTATATATATATAATAATTCATAATTATTAAATATACATTATAATGTATTTTTTTTAAAAAATAATAATTATTATAGATTTTAGAGGATAATAATTCTGCTTTAACACCAGAATTAAGAAAGCTTGTACAAAATCGACAGTTTTGGGCAAATGCAGATGTTCTAGCAAAAATATTATTACCAGCCAAAAATGCTGTTAAAATGGTTGAATCAAAATCTACAACAACTGCTGATGTCTTTTTATCACTTATTCAAATGGCAAATACTTGAAAATAATTCATTAGAACATTTAGAATTTTGCAAACAATGTATTCAGTTTTACAATAAAATGATGGAAAGAATTTGACATTAAAACTTATCTTTTAGCATATTTCCTTCACCCAAAATATCGAGGAAAGGGTATAAAAGATTCTGTATTTCACCAAATATTATGTACTGCACTTGAAATTTAGAAAAAATTACTAATGGTAAAGGAGGTGTAACAAGTGCAAATATTTTAATTGCACAATTTAAAAAATACAATGCTTATGAACCTCATATAACTTTACTTTTATGGAAGAAATTGAATTACCAAAAACCTGATGGTGCGGATGTAAGCTAGATAATTATTATTTACAAAAACTTGCTTTATATTTATTAGCAATTACACCTCATAGTGCAGGTTGTGAACGTATATTCTTTGTTTTAAGTTGGATTACCCAAAAGAGAAGAAGCAGGTAATTAAATTAATATATATCGATATAGATAGCTACCTTAAATATAATTTTTCTAAATTTATATTTTATTATATATTATAAAAGCCTTTCTATATAACATCTATTTCTTAAACTAACTAGTGCAAATATAAATTTTATTTTTTTTAAATTTAAACCCATTGATATTACAATATACGTATTTAAAGTCCTAATTACAATTTACTAATTATTATATAAATATTTTTACTTTTATAGATTAACTGTAGAAAAAGTATCAAACATTGTGAAACTATATACATATTATATGACTAATGCTCAAAGTGAACTAAATTATATTGCGAATAATATTTCAGAATTAGAATTTGAACAAGTAATGGAAAATTGTTCAAATTCAATCAAATACGATGATGATATGTTCAATAACAATATTGAAGAACCCAATGAAGATTATATTTTTGATGAAGATAATCTAGATGAAATTAGACAGTTTGATTGTGAAAATTTAGAAATCAAGAAAATAATCAATTTTAATCTTTTTACTAAAGAACAAACAAATAAAACAAATTATAAGAACAATAATATTTTGAAAGCTGAAGATGAACTTGATTATGATATTACTGAGCTCATCAATGCAGCTATAAATAACACAAAATAAGTTATTTTCTATATTTTATATTATTTATAATATATAGATTTCTTTATTTTTATATTTATATTTATATTATAAATAAATTATCTTTTATGTCCTAATCATTTATCTCAAAATATACTAAGAAACTAATCTACAGAGAGGTGACAAAAATATTTCCACACCTAAGAACTTGGCTTATAACTCAAAAACTTACAAATTAACTTATGTCCTTGGCTTGACTATATGAAACCTTATCTCTTAACGATTATGTCACATGATTTTTAGATCATATTGGTTTTTTTTAAAAAAATTTAACTTTTTTTTAAATTAACTTTATAAATTAATGTTTTCAAAATCAAAAATTTTA